TTTGACCAAGTACACGAAATTGAAATGAATCTAGAAGTTAATAGACCACTTAGAAACAAAACATAGTTTCTAAACTAAAATGAAATTAAGGTGATAGTTAATAAACTAAAAAATATATCATAAAAGGATGTGATTATAGCTATACAAGATTTTGTTAAGGCTACACAAATAGTACTTTTTGTTTGATTTAACTAATATTTAATCTATTTTATACATATTTTTTTTATATAGTTAGTTAATATAATGTTTTAAATTCTATGAACTATCAATTGATTTTAAAAATGAAATTAATATTTTTAAAAATAATATTACTAATTTGTTTAAATAATATTATTAATTTAATGTACCCTTAAAGAAAGAACATGTGTCTGGTGTGGGCCTGAGAGACTTAACCGTACAATCTTTAGTCTTTTAGGAAATAAATTTCATGGGGACTCAAATAGTCTTTAAACAAGCCTTCTCAATTTTTGGGAGACATGGGAATTTTCTATGTGGTATTTGATCGAGTCCAACGATTAGGAATTAATTTCATGTCTTCAACGGTCTAACAAATCTCTTTGACGAGAGACTAAGTATATTATTGTGAGGATAAGAATTAATTTCATGTTTTCAATAGTTTAATAAATTTTTCTAGAATTTGGGTTAAAAAAGAATAGTTTACGTGTTCAAATTTCAAAGAAAACCTAAATTTTTGAATTATTAAACCTTGATTCTCTTCTATGAGACACCAAGTCCATTATTATAAGTATAAGATAAATTTGTAATTTCCATCTTGAATTTTTTTTCTCTTTTGTTTATTAAGAAGGAAATCAAGTTGTAGATAAGGTAACTTGTTCATCTCTTCAAGGGCAATATCTTTTATCCTCGGCACTTCAACCTCCTAATATTTTCTATTCTTTGCTAATCTAGGATGATTTGTGTATTTAATATAAATTATACTCAGGTACTACATACAATTTTCAATTGAAAAAAAGGTTCTCAATTAGTCAAATCAATTCTAGAAGTAAAATTTATCATGGTGAATTTTCTTTAACGAAATCGAAGTAAATATATATTTTTTAATAAGTACAAACTTTAGAAGATAAAAAATTTAAATTAATATTATATTAATAAAAAATATATTTTTAAAACTAGTTGTCAGTCAACCAGCACACAAAGTCAGGTGCGAAATCGTGGGAATGTTAGGGATTGGATATTGGAAGCCTTTTACGTAGTTTGACGGCAACCACTAGGATCACATGTACTTGAAATTATTATATTCTTGACATGATCTGATTGGTGGGAAAACATTTGGTCTCTGACCAAAACGCACACATTCACTTTTCATTTCATCGATGATTATATAAAATGAAAAAAATGGGTTTTTTATATTGTG